TATAATTCTGATAATACTGTAATGAAAAATCTATAGTTCTGTTCCATACAGCACAGTTGTCATTCACAATGCATTCTTACTTCTGCATTTAAATCATAATTCTGTTTGGAGCTTTCTTCCGACAGAATACTGACTTTCTTCCAAAATTGTTGTCCCTGCAGAGTTAAATTTTAAATATATTTCAAATATTGACGAGTTTTATTTTATTTTAAACTGACGACTTTTGAAGCAATTTCAAGACCTTGTTTTGAATATCTATAATCAGAATTAAATAGAAAAACTGTTGTCTTCATTAGACAATATTCTGTGCTACAAGTGACTTCTTTCTGCATTTCTAGTCAAAAACTGACACGTAAAATTGAGAACTCAAAATATTTTTCGAGGCGGACTCAACAGACAAATGAAAATTATTTTCTAAAAACCTATTGTCATATATAAATGGTCGATAGAAGAACCCTTTCGTTTCTAAATATGGTGTCTTGCATCAAAAGAGTCTATTGGTTATACTCATTAATAGCACCTAAAAGTCGAAGAAAACCTGACACTAATTAGGTTTGTTTGGACGTTGAAAAATTTCTCTATTTAAAGATATTTCGTTTTTTCTGTTTGATTTTAATTTTTCTCTTCATTGAATCCTAAACAAAACTTGATGTTGGTATACGAGAGAACGTCCTCGTCATAATGGCGTTTGTAGTGCTAACTTGAAAAAGAATCTATTCATTACCAAACATCTGTGTCGCATGATTAGCGATGAAACATATTTCAAATCAAAATAGGCAAATAGATGTGAGGATGTAGGTTACAAGAACTCTATTAGGCTCCTCCTCGAGTTCGAGCTTTACTTATAGATAGATATGAATTTCTATTTTTATCGTAAAAACTCATTCAATCAATTTTATTCAAAGTTCACAATAGGAGTATGTGTGACTAGAAAAAGTCAGCTAGCCAGAATGTTGCATTACCTTCGGAATAAGCCGCTTTGATTTTTTCGATCGTTTTGTTCAGAAGTCAGATGCTATGTATCATCATGTCATCTTTGTTCTCTATTTTTATTGAGTCAACCCACTGTTTCAATTCATTGATACTCATATATTGAGGTAGACCATGAAAGAGAAAGACATTTGTCTGTTGCTGTCGTCGAATCTCTTCAGTTGCCACTTTCAACAATTTTCTTTCAACATCAATATTTGATGCTCGCCATTTGGACACACAAAAATATCATAGATATTGTTCGGTTTGCTAATCAACACGTAGCCTGATTTGACTACATGACAAATGTATACGATAGCTTCATTTTGTTGCCATTCCCAACCGACCTAATGTTCTAACATAGTCACGGGTGATCGATCATATTGATACTTGCGGGCATTAGTTGAATATATTTTCAATAGTAGCTCTCAATCAGTTGATAAAACTTCAGCTGCCGAACGCCACTTGATATTACTATTGCTAATAGAATTTAAATCTTTCCATTCGATAGTCACTGTCGTTGGTACAGTTATTTGTTTCCAACCAAGAACAGAATAATGATGTGTTGATCATTACCCAACATTGATAGATCAAATTCATTACTTTGTTCCATGTTTTCAATAATTAATCAAAGAAGATGCCGCAAAAAATCTAGTTTTCGATACTCTTCTAGAGTGACAACATTTGTAATAAATGCACACAAATATTCAGTATTATCATTCAATATTCGATTTGAAAGATGTCGAATATGCACTGTCCTCACTAATCTCCCATTGTACAAGACACCTAACGTATCACCCTCTTGATCTTGTGACTATGTTTCGACGGTGAAACAACGTTCGAAATCCTCTGGTTTAGTTTTAAAAACAGAATACCATAAATCGAGTGCATGGTTTTGCTTATATTCTTTAACAAAACGATAAACAACCGATGACGTGTCTGCACCTATCATTAATGCCATATTCTCATAGTCTAACGAAAACCAAAAGCTACAAATGACATACAATAAGGATGGAAGAAATAGCAGTCATTCACTCTTTCGTTTTGTCAAGCATTTTTTGTTCCTTCTGCTGCTTTCACTTCTTCTTTGGTATTACACGGTTTTTCTCTAATGCCATAGATGAACACGAGCGACAGAACGGTGAAAGTGACTCAAGATGAGCTCACAAAAAAAGAAGTGCATATTGATATGTGAATACGACTATCCAGTCAGCACACTCGAGAGGAAGACTGGTGGGAGTTATCACAGCATGATTTTTCCTCTGTTGCTCTTCTTTTTTTTGTTCCTGTCTCATACTCGGAATACCAAACTTTTCTCTCTTTTTTTTGTCTAGTTTTCTCTCATAGATAAACATGTATTACTCTACCTTGTCACTTCTATTTTCTACTCCCTAATATAATAATGAAAAGAAATCGAATATTGTCATCTCTACTAACAACATTTTTAATACCATACGAAACTTAATTTTTATCTTATGCACTTATATTAAAAAGAAAACAATACAACATTAAAAAAAAGAGCAAACTTTTATATTAGGTAACTACCACGTTACAAACGACAGAGCAAGTGAACACCAGCAAAGAAAAATAAGAACCTTCTGTCGATGTGTAGTTCTTTTTTCATCTTCATTCTCATACTTGTAGTCGGGAGCATTTTTTTCTGTTCTTTATTACTTTTCATAAGGGCAACATAAGAGAAGAAGAAAAACAAACTCAATTGTTACATGTAAATATTCGTGTGACTCGATACTTTATAGATGCAACGTAAAATGAACTCTTTTTAATTTTTATACTATGATGATGAATGAATACGTGTTTGGAGGACTAAACCGCTGTTGTTGTGCCATACAAAAGAGAAATGGGACAGAAAATCATTGTTTTATTTATGTGACGAATCGAACTCTTTGGAGTCGCCTATTGTTAATGATCGATCGACATGGTCACACTTTCCTGAAAGCTAATCAATTCTTAGTTTTCGCTAGATGATGAATGAACCGGGAATTTGATTGGTTTTCTTTCGTGTAGATCAGCTGAATCCAATTCGATTACGTAACAAAAAATGGACATACGGATTTATATTGCATCTACAGGTTGCAGTAAACGGCGTCATTTGAACATTTGTATTTTTATTCAAAGTCGACATAGTACTTCGATGATGACTCTCAAATGAATTTATTTTTGAAGTTTATTATTCAGATAATGAGACATTGCATTGATCACTATGAAGAAACCTTATAGCAATAGAATAAAAGTGAAGGTATTGCCACATATGATGCATGTCAACAATGGTTTTGTACAAAGCACTCCCATGAGCATCGGCAGAGACTTGGCATACGAATGGATCTAATTGATCAAGAACATGATCTGCTTCAACGAGAGATTTCATTCAAGACAACGTTACAAGCAGCTTTGAAAAAAGTTTTTTCGGGACGAGTACGACGTCAGCGTCGAAGTTGTGATATAAAGCTAGTGTTACGCGAGTGGATTGAGTAGTTTCTTTACTATCTCTCAAGGTTTCATTCATTTTCGAAAATATCATTTGGAAAAAGATCTTACAGCAAACGAGTTCTTTTTTAATTCTCTGATTTGTATAAGAGCTAACCGATTGCTGTCAATTATCGCTCGATGAACATAACCCATTCAGTCATTATGTAGATTTTGCGTTCTTACTCCTTTTATAACTAAAGATATCACTTGTTCAACACTAATTAAAGGTAAATGTGTCGCTCATGGAATCTCCTGTAATACAGGTATGTTCTCAATAAAAAATTCGAATCTTTATTCAAATATGTTTTACTTAGAATCATATCATATGGATGAAGTATTTTCAAGAAGCAGCAATCAAGATTCGGAAGAATTCCATAGCATCACATCACAGACCTGACATCCCTTTTTCTTTTCATTATCCTACATCGTAATTGATTCCTTTAGAAAATAAATACTAATAAAAGAACCAAATTAACACATTTTTGTTAATTTCTTTGTCCTGTAAAATGCAAAATGAGTAAGAGATAGATGTCCCTAGGTGTCATTGTTCATATTTCATGTAGATGTAATTGGCTCTATCTGTCATTTGATTGACTATGAATCATTGTTGATAAATAGGTGTACTATCGTGCAAATTTAATTTCCTTTCGCCTTATGTTATTTTGCCCTCACATTTAAAACAAGTCAAGCATATTTATTGGTGATACATTTCATATTTTTTCACGTGTTTTCTTTATGTCGCATCAATATTTCGACCATTTGTATGAACGACCTCGTCATCGTGTAACCATTCAATCCCATCAACCATCAAATAGTTCATCTCGACGAAATGGACCTCCAACATCAAGAGATTTTGCTTTTCAATCTACCTTTCAACCTAATCGAGAGAGAAATCCTCCGCTACCTCCACCTCATCATCATTATTATGGAGAATATTCTGAGTTTGATGGATATCCAAATACGACAAGATCATCATCTAATCAGATGAACGTAAGTCAGAGATACTTATTCATGAAGCAAAACTTCAATGTTTTAAATATTAGAACTCATCGAAGGATCAAACACATCGACGATATCGATTAGAAGCTCCGTCTACTCATTCTCATGTACGACATCCTCAAGCATATCATGATGATCGTCATTATTTAAAAAATCAACAACCATCAACAAACCATTCCTCGACCTCCCAATCATCTCGTTATGATCTAGATTATCCAAGATATGAAAGAAATTCTGATCAAAATGCTCGAAGACATCATCGAGAAGAAACTTATCCCCTCCAATCCAATCTGCTACATTCGTAAGTGAAACTTATTTTTTCAGCGCTTTTGTTACTTTTGATCTTTTCTAGAAATTATCGATCGGTAGACCTTCCATCAGCACGTCAACATTCGAATCCCGTTCGATCTCTTGATAATCCTTCATCTTCCTCGCGTACTGTTCCAATCCATCGATCTTCTCGTCCTCAAATGCCATTTTCTCCACGACCATCTATGCCAGTGCAACTTCATGATCCGACTTCTCTTCTAACTCATTTCCTTCAGTTCGTATCTTAATGAATGTTTCTTTCGAACAAACAATTTTCGTTTTTAGAAATTTTTTTGGCGGCCGTACTTCATCATTCGATGATGATGATGATGATGATAACTCATCTTTAGCTCCTATTGATATGATTGCTTTTGCATGGATAATGCAAAGACCTGATGTTCTTGCTGGTCCTACTGCTCTTCATATTCAATTTGGTGTAAGCTCTTCATTAGAATCTATCTATTTGATCTGATGCTTTCTAGGATCTATTCGATTTACTTGGTCATGATGAAACACCTTCCGTTGGTCTATCCGACAGTGACATTGAACGTATACCAACGATGCGCTATCGAAAAACAAGGAAATCGAAGTCCACTGATGATAAATGTGCAATTTGTTTAAGTAAATATAAAACCGATGAAACTGTGAAACGTTTGCGATGTGAACATTTCTTTCATCCTGAATGTATCGATCCATGGTTAAAGGTATTCGATGAAGAAATTCTTTTTTATAGTGGAGTTTGATTTTCTTTTTTTCTAGACTTCAATTCAATGTCCAATCTGTCGTAGTGAACAAACTGACTAATTGGAAGTTTGCATATATTTATCAGTGATTTGTTTATCATGGACTAATTTTTATTTTTCTTGTTTTCTAATCGTTAGTCGACTAAATATTTTTTAAACTGAAATAATCGAAATTTTTTCTCTTGCAACAATAAATCACACTCGAGAATCAAATGGTTATCCAGATTGTTCTAACCAATGAAGAATTGATCGAAATTCTTCTTCTAAGATTTCATTCGATGTTTTATCAATCGATTGATGAGCTTTCCTTTTAATTTCATTCGAACAACCAATATGAACCAAAAAATCGAGTACATAATCTAACGATCTATCTTTCAGATTAATCAATCAACATATTCGAGCGATAACCATCGCTAATAGTTTTTCCGATGTGATAGTCGATCCAAAAGCAAAATGATAATGATCAGTTTGATTTTAATTGTTTTTGCAAAGATTGATAAACCATGATCGAGCTAAAGCACAACGAATAGCATCACCGAGAGAATATTGAGTTCCATGAATTTCGGACCGGGCCGAAAGTCCTAGAGGAATTTTGACCCATCCTTAGAATGACCTTAATGATCCCTAAAAAACATTTAAATTTTTTAATTAATTGCTAGATATCTTAGTGCTGAGCAAGATGACGTGGTGCTGAGCAGGACGACGAGTTGCTCAGCAGTACGATATGGGTGTGGGCATAGCTGTGGGCGCGCGTCAACGCAAAAGAGTTATGAACATACCACATACACTTGCACCCACACTAACATCCCACAAGCTTACACCTACACCCACACCCACACCCATGACGTTCTGCTCAGCACTACAATATCTAGCAATTAATTTAAAAATTAAACTTTTTTAAGGGATTAATGAGGTCATTCTAAGGAGGGACCGAAGTTCCTCTAAGGACTTTCGGCCCGACCCGAAAATTCCGTGGGGCGAAATTTCGGTCTCCCAGAATATTGTGTTAATTGAATGAAGTTTGTACTAACATAGGAATCGAATGGAAAAAGATAATCATATTTGACTAAGGCAGAGAGAACATCAATCAGGACGGAAATTGCATGGTTTTCGAAACGGATTTTTTTCGAATTAATTCAACAAGAAATTAGAAAGCACAATCTTCTTCTTTAAAGAAAATATTTTCAATAATTGAAGATGGTCATTCCAAATAAGCATTCGAATGAGAAAAAATCACCAATGATTGATAAACAATTCCCAGGCTTTTCTTTTCAATAACACGATAAAGAATCATTTCATTCAATTTACTATTTGATGATAATTGCATTTGTTGCAATTGATTGAAACAATCTATTAATTGAGCATTATTTTTCTCATTGTTTATGTCTGATATTAACATCATTTCAATCAGAAATGAGCCGCTTCTGCTCCTAATTTGTTCAGCAAACAATATTAGGTCATAGAACATTAAAAACAATAGCTACATGTACAAATTTGTTGAGCGGACTACGATGTAGTCGTATTATGTAATCACTCACTGAGAAGATCTGCTCAACAGGTGCTGACGCTGCAGGAATGCAGAGAATTCACACAGCGAGTTATATTAGAATTTACGCCTATTTGTCACTGCATGGATAGCCATTGGCATTATAAACGCAAAATGGCGGGTGTTGGTGTGGATGATCGTGCGGATGAAAAGAAGATTCCCATCCACACGAAAATCAAGATTTATTTCAGAGTAAAGGAGTACGAAATACGGCGAAATGACTATGTGATTTTACAGTTCCTGCGCAAATCCTCTATATACATAACTTCTTAATTGTAGTAGATATTTATTCTTCAATAAATGAAAGTATAGAAGTAGAACAACACATCAAATGCTGACGGCAGTGTCTAGAAATTCAAATTATTCAAATTATTAATTAACGAGTTAGTGATGAAACATCAGAGTATTGAATGAGGCGCGGTTTTAAATCGACGACAAGACGAAGAAAAAAAGCAAGTCAAGACATGTCAATCTCTCACACCAAGCGCAGCGTTGAGGGACGAAAGAGTTTCCCAAATTCGTACATCATCTGAGGTACGACGTGCATGCCATCAGTCTTCTGTTCACCAAAAGGCTTACTAATGGACAATGAGCGAGCTAACCAATGATACCAGCGTAAGGGAGCCATGTAAAACTGTGCTGCTTCATGGCTTTGCACGTTCGCAAAGCAACTAGCGACAATATTGTTCACGAGTAATGTGCCTATGAGACGAAAGAAATCAAAATCAACTTAATTGAATCACTGTGTTCTTACCAGCTGTGGTCAGTGGAGCATAGTATCCCATTTTGACTTCTAGTATAATAGTGGTGACTGGCGACGAGACGACTTCATCGTTTGAGACAACGTAGAGGACATCATCCACCTTGACTTCTTGGGCAGGCACATAATTGATGGTATTATCGCTTTGGATGACGGGAATCAAATGAAGCGGTGTTAGACTGACATTATGACCAGAGACCGTCACAATAGTATGAAATATTGCTAGAAAAACAAGAAAATAGCGAACTGCTTCGATCCATAATGTTAATGCTACCTTGTGAGAGTCGATTTTTATCGAGCATCATTATCATCGCAGTGGTGACTATCTGTGTGCCGGTCGTTGTCAAGATTTCATCGTCAGGTTGAAGTTGTCCAATTGGAATTCGCTGTCGGTTGGATAAGGTGACCCATGTATCACTAGCAAAACAGCCAGATGACGAACCAGAAGATGAAGAAGACGAAGAGTAAGATGGACACGCACAGTAACATGAGGATCCTCCACCTGATTGTCCATGACCTATAAAATTGTGGTAGAAAGAAGTTAAAGTCGATCAGTCGTATTTATGTGTTAATATGTAGACTCACTTTTAGCGGCTATGCTCGAACTTTCATTGCTGCCATTTGTATAGTTAAGATTAGTGAGATTCAAAGACTGAGGAGTAATAGTGAAAAGATTAATTAGTATTAGAGTGACAAGAACCTGAAATTTGTTAATGTGAAGCATCTTTTTTACCGTAACGAAAGCCCAAGTATTAATGCCTCACTATTCCCTTTATGACAATAAATGGATAGAGAGAGAAATGAGTAGTGGCGCAGTTCGAATGTTGGAAAAAACCAGGTGATGCGTGTTTGATAATAAGCTGTTGCCCATGGTAATTCATGACTATTTTTTTTATCCATTTGTTTGTATGTTTACATTAGCTATTATGCAAACAAAACATGTAACTTTCGTTTGTTTAGGAAGTGATATTTTGGCAGAATCTAAAAATTTCAGTTTTATTCTGACAATGAATTAGTACAGAGTTTGACTCGGAAATTTATGCTGCTGACTGCTTTCTTCCATGCCAGCAGTAACACGTAGTTTTTCTTTCGAAAGTAAATATTTATCTGGCGCATTTGTTTCCAAATTTCAGAGACTCAGTCAAAGAAAACAAATGCGTCATTTCTACTAAGAATAACTCTATCTGGTTGGTTCTGAGTCAATGGCACTTCATCATGCTATCATACTGCCTCTTGCCCTGGTAACTATAGTTCATGCGACTTCGGTTCACAAACGATACCAATCCTAGTACCAATGAAATTGTTGGCATTGTGATTAGATGCTTGGTGGTAGTTATCATCATTGTCATAGTTTCTATCTGCTATTTTAATAAATAGTGGAAATTCCAATCAACAAGATTGCTCTTGCCCGCTGCTCTATACAATAAACAATCAAGATCATCGGACAAGTACGAAGCTTTTAGATGAATTGCCATGGAATTTTGCGAATGCTTAATCGTTATTTGCAAAAAAAAACGAGTATTTTTTTTCTTATAAACAAAAGAAAGAGAGTGAGCATAGATATACGACAGAATAAGCAAACACAGAAGCGAAAACTTTATACCAAAACCAGACCAGGAAAACATAACGAAAGTAATTGTTCACTGCAATTACTTTTACCCGTAGAACACAATGATTACGAGTTGTATTAATCTCCTAAAATACGTTTAGAATGCACCACTATTACAGCCGCTCTATGAGCAAAAAACACGAACTGATTGTGTACTGAGTGTCGAACGATAAGAAGCTCCATAGTAGCAACCAAACATCGTGAGTTTCAAGTATCGGTCGACTTCACTGCCAAATGAACTATTTGAGAGGTGTGACTAAGACACCCTTCCGACGAATTAGCCTGGAATTTGTTCGTTCACTTTCACATAATAGACATCAATGCGTTGTTCATCATTACTCTATCCCTCTATGATCAGGAATCTTTTGAAATTGAGCCTGGGTAGAGTTCGAACAAATCATGTTTCCGCAGACTTCTGTTCTTCGCTACTGCTTTTTTTAACGTAATATTCACGATACATGTTTTCAACTTTGTGCTTCTTCGTAACTGAATAAAAAAAAAACATTGATTGTTGACACGAAGTCTATTTGCATAAAGATTTTTTGTTCTTTTTCATAAATGTAAATAACAAGTTCGGCCGTTGGAAACAGCCAAGAGTAGTTATATGGATAATCTGTGTGGATGTAATTTGTCAGGTAAATCAAGTCAGTGAATAGCTCTATGACTCATGATGCATATAGATATCAATTGACTTTGCGTCTCTAGGTATTCAATTATATATCTTATATCTATTGCCGTTTGTCATCAACAACACGAACAATGTATTATCTGATGACGTTCCAAAAGACAATTATGCTATTATTTCTCTATTAACATAGCAGACTACATTGCAAACGAATAAATCGATTTTTTCTTCTTCTTCATTGAAAAAATTTTCTATGGTCAATTGATACAAAGCGAAAATATGTGGAGAACAAAAATTAGTGTGTACAATTTTGTTTTTGTTGACATGGTAAAATTAGTTTCTTTCTAATGTTATATAAATAAATGTAATATATTATTTCAAAAAGAGAATAATTGATAGACATGTAGTTCAACACTAATTGCTATAACTGGTGCCGGTTCAATCATTACTCTTTCGGATC